CTGCTCAAATGTCAGGGAACAAACAGCCCCTTGGGAACTCTGCTGATCCCACCTCAGTTCCCTAGCTCTCTCTAAAGCCCTGGCAGACTCAAGTTTCAGTTTCCTGTTTGCAACATGTGAATAAAAACAGTCCCCACCTGTGATAGTTTGTTAGGGCTATTGTAACAAACAAACTGGGTGGCTTAAACAACAAAAGTGTATCTTTCTGGAGGCTGAGTCTGAAATCCAGGTGTCAGCAGGGTAGGTTCCTTCTGAGGGCTGTGGGGAGAATCAGATCCAGGCCTATCTCTTAGCTTCTGGGGTTTGCTGGCAGTCTTTGACCTTCCTTGGTTTTTAGACTCATCACCCTGATCTCTGCCTTCATTTTCACATGCCCTTCTCCCTGTGTGCTGTCTCTGTGTCCAAATTCCTCCTCTTTCATGAGAACACCAGTTGTACTGGATGAGGGCCCAATCTAATGACCTCATCTTAACGTCATCATCTGTAGTGACTCTCTTTCCAAACAAGGTCACATTCACAGATACTGGGAGTTAGGATTTCAGCATCTTTGGAGGAAAGACACAATTCAACCCACACCACCATCTCACAAATCTGTTGATTGGATTAAATGAACTAAGGCATGAAGCGCCTGCCACAGAGTCATCACTCAACGAAAGTTCGTTATTATCATATTATTTGCTGCACAGTGGCTGCCAGCGTGCTGCAGCGTGTCCTGCAGGGTGACTGCCGCAGGGACAGTGAGAGAGCCCTGGTATATGGCTCTGAATTTCACTGCAAGGAGGACGCTGAGGAAGGAGGGGCTAAGCACTCGCTGACAGTGCTGAGATCTCTCACCAACAAGAACAGCCACAGTTCCTAAGCCACTCCGTGTCCCACTTAATCTGTGACTGAGAGACTGTCACTTGTCACCCATATCCTATACTACTGCTTTTGTTATCAGTCCTTCGTGATGGTTCCTAGGTCATCATGGGTGGCGGGTGGAGTGACTAAACGCTCCCAATGCACCCTTGACAGAGCCATGGCGTGTGCCACGCTGCTGTGTCGTGGCCAGGCTGGTAGTCCCAGAGGCTGAGTCATGGAGTGACGTTAGGAACCCCACAAGACGCCCAGGCCCCCTCTGTGGGGCTGGGTCTTACGTGTGGCTGCGTTGGTGCAGACGGCAGCTCTCTGGCTGGGAGGCAACAGCTCCTTGTGGGTAGGTGTGAGTGGCCTAGGCGTCTCCGTTCAGGAAAGCAGATTGAATCTCAATTTGGGGCCAGCCTCCTGCACTTAAGCTACCTCTTCACTTAGCACTTTGTGAAGCTCAAGTTCAAAGTCCTATGGGAAAGGTCTGATAATGGATCTTATCCAGAGAGGATACAAAGCTTTCATTATGATGCTTGTAAATGTATATGTGCGTTTCCTCGTGTTTCTTCTGGATTCCGGTTGCTCCCCTGTGCCCATTTATAAAAGTGCTTTGAAAGTTGGGGAAATTGAGGCCTCAGCAGGCAGCCCAGTAGAGGTGAGGCGAGATGGCCAGGAAATAGCTACGGATTGGCCTATTGGGCAAAGATGCCAATAAAGACCATTGTGGAGGAGTGTCTGGTGGTATAAAGCCATAATAAAAAAGGACCAGCATTTATCAAGCATCTACAATGCCCTGAGCACCAGACTCATGGTCATTTTCTTTAATATTCACAGAAATGCCACAGTCAGTAGTATAATTATATCTGCATTATACAGATGAAGAAAAGAAATGAAGGCCTGGGGATTTGCCCAAGTTCACATTGCCAAGAAGTGATGGATGAGCATTTTGAACCCAGGCCTGATTCCAAGGCCCAAGCCCTTGCCCGTGAAGCTGGTCTGCCTTCCATGGCCTGTGATGAAGTCTCCAAGTCTGGAGCCGAGCAACCGAGTCTCTCTCCAACCTGTGTATTCATGAAAAGCCACAGACCAGAGGGATAAGCGAGTGTAGGGCTCCCCGTGTCCTTTGTGAGGCTGAAGAAAGAACTGGTCCAGATCATGTAATCCACACTCAAGAAGATGTGACAAGGAATACATACAGCAATAAAAAAAAAAAGAAAAGCAAACGCCTGACAGGACAATGCAGGGAAACCTCACAGACAATGTTGGGCAAAAGAAGACAGTCACAGAAGTGCACATGCTGTATGATTCTATTTAAGTGAAGTTCTAAAACGGACGAAGCCGATCCTACGGTGACAAGGTCAGGAGGGTGAGGACCTTTGGGGAAGCCTCCCATGGTGACAGAAATGGCTCAGATCTTGAATTGTGTGGCAGTTACCCAGGTGGGCATATATGTAAAAATTCATCAAGCTGCATGCTAAAGATTTGAGCCTTTTATAGTACTTCCAATAAATATGAAAGATGCAAAGAAAGTGGAGAAAATGTAGTCAAGAATGACAATTGGGACCAAAGGGGTGGATTAAGCTCTCTCTAAAATATAAAAGAAGCATGTTTAGAGGAGGTGGCTGGGAGGAGGTGACTGCACCTGGTGGTTTTAACAGCCAAGATCCTGGCGCACAGCTTGGTCCCTTCTCTCTTACAAAAGGTCACATCTGGCACTTCCCAGGATTTCCAAAGCTGGGAGGGGATTTCCCATAGCTGGGAGGGGACTTCCTCTGCCCAGGAGGGCAAAATAGCATATGTCACTGTTTTAATTCATTTATGCATCCCCTCATTTATCCTTTCAGCGTTCAGAGGTGTTTGTGGAGGGCCTGCTGTGGGCAGAGCATGGTACTACATCCCAGGGATACAGCAGTGAAGACAGACAAAAGCATCTGCTCTCGTGTTGCCATCATCCTATCTGGGACTGAGATGACTGTTACTTTAAAATGATAAGTAAAATATCCAGTAGGTTAGCTGGAGAAAAATAAAACAGAGAGAGAGGGGTCTGAGGAGTGAAGAGCAGGTTGAATCTGCAAAGAGCGCGGTCGGGGAAGGCCGCCTCCCTGAGAAGCTGACATTCCAGCAAAGATGAGAAGGAGGACTCTGGGGGACATACAAATGCCCCAGACTGGTGGGCATGTCCTGGTGAGAGGGAAGCAGTGAGGTGTCCGGGTGACTGGAGGGGAGGCTGAGGGAGAGCCACATGGATGAGATCAGGGAAGTGACAGACGGCGTGAGTGTAGGGCTTGTGTAGACCTGGGCCTTACCCAGACTGAGGTGGGGTTTTGAACAGAGGTCTGACATGACCTGGCTGGGTATTTGTGAAGCTGCTGCTGCGCTGGGAAGTCTGCATCTCTGCATCTCTGCAGGGGGGCCACAGAGAGGCAAGTCCTGAGGCTCACTCACTGCCCTGCGCCTCTGCCCTCCTACCTGGGTTTCTCCGGGTGGGCAATGACCGCCTTCCAGGGCAGTGGAGAGAAGGGGAAAGGCCTTGTGCCCCGCACTGTGTGTGAGGCCACCAGAACAGGGCAAGTGGGTGAGGAGCAGCGCCAAGCCTCTCTGGACAAGGAGTGCGAAGGGCTTCCAAGAATGCAGAATACAGGCAAGGACGGTTTCCTTGTGAGTGTGCTGGAGGCTTTCCAAGGAGGCAAAGGTTGCCTGGCAAGGCTCATCAGAAGCTCCTGACTGTAGCGAGAAGGAGAGACGAGGGAGAGACTGTGAAACCATGTCAGGCAGGGCGGCACCCTCCTCTCTCGGAAAACTGCTGACCTCACCTCCCTTCCCCGGGTGGGGGTGAGAGCCCGCTGGCTGTGGGGGCGGCGCTCCTCGGCCTGGGGGAGGGGCGGAGAGCGAGGGCGGGGACGGGGAGGCTGGAGTGGAGGGAGGAGCCCCCGCACTTGTAGGCCCAGCTCTCCCACAGCAGGCTCCTGTACCTCCGGCTCCCAGTCTGGGCTGTTCTTCCTCCTTCCCAACTACCGGGCTGGGCCAGGGGCTCCTGGCTCTCTTTCATTCTACACTGTATCCAGAGAGCCCGCGGAGCGCCCGGTCTCTACACTGGGCTTGGGCCTTGGGAGCTCAGTCCACGAGTCTCCAAGACCTGAGACTCGGGTCACCCGCTGGCTTCTTACCTCCTCCTCCAGGGGTGCAGCGTGAGGCTGACGACTGCTTGTGGGTGTGTCCCGGGTGGTAGGCTGCTGCTTTGCCTTGTCCTCATTGCCCATGTCACCTCCCCAAGGAAATGTGCCAAAACTTGCACCTGAAAACACAATATAGCGCTGCCTTCCAGTGCTTTGAAGGCACCCCTACCTCTGAAAATACATTTACGGGCTCCCTGTGTCCTAAAGTGTAAAAAGCTGTCTCTGGAATCGGGTCTTCTTGACCCCCTACACTTGAAGAAACCTTCCTTCACGCCTCCTTCCCCTGCCCCACCTCACTCGGCGCGGTGAATTTCTCGGTTGCCTCCTCAGCTCTCAGGAGGACATCACTTTCCAGCCTCAGCCCCTTGGTTCAGCTTTGCCTGGAATGCCTCCAACTCCATTGGCTAGACATTTGCAGAGATCTTTATCCTGAATTGTGTTTTTACAAAACATTATTGAATTCTCATGAAAACCTCAGGGGACAGATATCATCTCCCTCTTTAGAGCTGCGAGGCTGAGTGATTTGCCTAAAGTCACACAGCCAGTAGGTGGTGGGGCTGGAAGCTACACCCAGATGTCCTGAGACTCCAGCACTGAGCTCTTAACCACTAACACTGCTTCTCCCAGCTCCTGTGTGCATGGTCTCTGCTCTGGATGGACCACAGCTGTCTGAGAACAGGGCCTGGGCCTCCTCAGCCACTTCAGTTTGGGCCATTGTTGTCCAGCACATCTTCTTTCCCTTGCTCCACCTGGAGCATTCCCTATTATCCACCTCAGGGCTGGGAGTGGAGGCTCTTCCCGGCAGTCACCCTGGGGCAGAACTGGCTCTCCCAGGTGTCCCCAGCCTTCCCTCCACTAGGCAGGTTGGGCTGCCCAGACATGCAGCTACCATGACTCACCCCATGAAGAGCTGTGGAAACCAGCGGGCTGAGTCCGAGCTGGCAAAGCAGCCTGTCCGCCCACTTTCCCTAGCAGCCCAGGCCTCAGCAGTGTGGCTCTTGGCTTTTCCCATTTGGATGATGGGCTTAAGGAGATAATGCTTTAACTCTCTAGGTCTGCTCACCAGTTGGAGCTCCATCTTCCTCTATCAAAATCCACATAATCTATGTTCCGTGAGATCATGAGAAAGATTTCCTTGGGAACTAGGCCGCAAATTTTGGGACTGCCTTCCCCTTGGATATCAATATCGGTTGCTAACATTTGTCAACAGCTGTCAACAGCTGTCAACAGCTGATTGTATGCTTGGTACTGTTCTAAACATAGCAAACAAAACTTTTGCTTTTCCCTTGACCCTAGGTAGGCAGATAAGACAGGGCAAAAAATTGTATCCAATTGTTTACATGCAGGAATTGAGTGTCAGGGTGGAGGAAGGCGGTAACATGGGTCACTGTCAATGATAAAGTGAAGTCTAGTAACTGTGGTCTGTGGTCTTCGGTCTCCACCAGCTTCCTGGCTATTTCCAAGGCATCAAGCTGCCTCCTAGCAGCAAATAGGATTTTGTTTCTGTTTCAGAGCAAAGGTTAATGCAAGAGAAAGTTACCAACATACACAGCATTGATGTTGTGACTTCATCTTTATTGGAAATGGGAGCAAGACAAGGAGAGGGTCTTGGAGAAAACTGAGATAATTAATGTGGTCAGAAAGAGGCATGGATCCAAGTAGGGCCAGACACAAAAGCAAAGTTAATGCCCTGAGCTAAAATGCTAACAGAGGCAAGTTGGGCCAGCACCGCCCAATTTTCTAGAGTGGTTTAGGGAATTAGGTAGAGCCTGCTGGTTCCCTACCTTGTTTAAGAGCTGACTGTACATGGCTCAAAAAGCTGACACTGAAAGCTTCCAACCAACTTGTCTTTTAAAAAGCACATCACTTTGAACCCAGGAGGTGAATGTGGTGGGCTGGCTTTCAGAGAGGCCTTCTCTCTGTTGATGTTTTTAAGAGCAGCACCATCATTTTAGATCACGGAGTTGATTTGCTAATTATACTAGGTGAGTCTTTGTCCTGCAGAGATAGTCAGCTCAGGGAGAGGGGTTGTTAGAGTGGGAGGCCGAAAACAATCCTGATACTCAGCTCAAGGAAGTTTCAAGAACCAGATCCAGAGATTCAAGCCTGAAGAGGGAAAGGAGTAAGGCGAGAGCCAGAAGAAAACTACTGGTGGCCCCTTGTGGGCTTAGGAGCCTAAGGCCTTGACGGCAGCCCTACCCCAAGAAGCTTCTACTCTCATGGGCCTTCAAACAGTGGGCATACAGTGCTCTTCCTTCAGGGAATCAGCTTTATACAAAAGAGGTTGCCATGGTACAACATTGAAGGAAGGTCTAATGGAATTGTTCACTGATTTTCAGTAAAAGATCTCTGAGTGATTTGGACATATATCTTGGAAAGAAGGCAAAGAATTAAGTGACAATGTAATAACAAAACTTCTTCTGGTTTCACATAATTATGTGAACAAGACTTCTAAACTAATACATGAATTAAAATGAAAAACAGGGATAGCATTGATGGTGATTCCTGTCTCAATCTAAGAATAAATAACATTTATCAATGTATATATGAACATGCATTTTAAAAAACCCATCTCAATAACTAAAATTTAACTCTTAATATTCAAATGGTTATCAGAACTTGTAATACATTTATGTGGCTTTGATCAATTAGGTCTAAAAACTGTAACAGCAACTCTAGACAGAAGATATAGCACTTCCAAGTTTCATGGTCACAAGAAATTAAAAATGGAAATTAAGTGCATATCTTTGTTTCAAAGAAATATAATATGGCAATCATTAAAAGACAGTAAGGCATGAAAATGAATTGCATGTATAATCAATTAAACCCTGTGGGGAAAACAGACTGGAAATAGGAGTTCAAGGAGAAAAGGGAATGGTGTAGAATTTCTGACTGGAATTTGTCCATGTGTTTTTTTTTCAAAGGACAATGGTGAGCAGAGCTGCTCCGGAAGGGTGTGGGCCCTAGTTCGTCATTAAATGCCACCAGCTTCCTAGAGTTGTGTGAATTGAACAAGTGGCCAGATAGGAGGAGAAAGTGGAAGGTATTTCTAACACAAGAAGTACATGAAGACATGATGGCACAGTGAGTCCTGGGAACTGAGTGTATCTGGGGTGTAGGGTGTTGGGATGGAGACTGGAGCTGAGGATAGAAGCCAAGAGATGAGGTTGAATAGCTTGGTAAGCAGGGGACAAACCATGGAGTTTCATCATTATCCTGAAATAAGGGTGGCACATTCAGGAAGAATGAAGGGGAGAATGTATTGGAGAAATTAGATTGAAGGCAAGAAGACTATATTAGAGGCTACTGCAAGAGTTCAGAGAGGCTTTAAAGGCCAAATTTAGGGAGAACCAGTGAGGAGCA